AGTGGTTCCTCCAGGCTCTGGGAGAGGCATATCAGCACTGTGTGGGAAACCTTGCATTGCCGCTAGCTACACTGCAAATGTTTTGGCTGATAAAGAAAATTCAGTCCCTAGTGAAGCCACCTCATCACTTTTCATCAACAAGAAACACTAAACAAAGTGAAGTCCCAGAGTGGAAATATCTGAGGCTTAAAAAGATACCAGGAGATGTAACGGAACTTGTATTTGAGTGCCTAAGACATTTTAAATAATTGTGTGGCTTTGGGTTTTTTGTCTTGTTTTGTTCAGATACACAGTATTTCATGATCCAGCAGGGTGGGTGACTGTTGATGAGAACTCTGGCGTTATTACTGCCATGAAAGAACTTGATTGGGAATCCCCCTATGTGAATGACAGTGTTTACCCCATCATTGTTCATGCCATCGATGATGGTAAGTTTCTGTTCAGAGGGTAGCAAATGAGACCATTTCCGAGTATGTGCTGTGAGCGTTAGCATCACTGTAGAGAGGAATAACAGCTCCTGTTACTGGAAAAATAGTCTCTGTCGAGGAAGAGTGGGGATACTCAAGTCCATTGCACAGTGAATAATATGCTGATATGTGTCTGTAAGTCTTTCTTTTCAGGACTCCCTGCTTGTTTTGTATCCAGAATGCTGCTCATTTGCATATTTGTTCAGAGGATCAGATTTTCAGTGACACCTGTCAAATTCTCTAGGCACACATGTGAAGGATAAAGGCACAACCGTCATCACAATATGGCAAATAAACATTCAAAGAAAACAAATTTCCCAACAGCCTCCTGCTTAAACCCTTCCCGCTCTAAAATCCGCTCCACTCTGTCTCCTAATCAGTGCCTCAAGTGAGCACCTTGGAAAACAGGCCAGACTTGTATTGTGCCCTAAAGTTCACCAGATCTGAACTCTAGAGGACCAAGGGAGCGTGAGCAGGGCCGGCTCCAGGCACCAGCTGACCAAGCAGGTGCTTGGGGCGGCACCTGGAGGGGGGGCGGCGTTCCGGCCGGTCGGGGAGAGTGGGGCCCCGGCCGGGCTCGCCGCCCTCCCCTACCGCACTCCCCGCCGGGGGCGGCGGGAGGCTTTTTTGCCTGGGGCGGCAAAAAAGCCAGAGCCGGCCCTGAGCATGAGGCCTCCCTCAGTGAGAATGGTCTGCTACTGGCCTCACTTAGCAGACAAGGGTGCTGTCAGCGCATCACCTCAGATGATTGCAGCTGTGTTGGGAACTTATAGGGGGAGAGGTGGGGCATTGCAGGTCTCAATCGACACCTCTGATTTTACCCAGAGACTAATTAGCTGCAGTACAGATGATGGATTACAGGGGTAGAGCAGTGCTACAATCCCTCATGTACTGATGGGAACTGATGCACAGAGATGGACTGACTTGCCCAAGCTCACACAAGAAATCTATGGCAGAGCAGAGAATTGAACTCTCGTGTCCTAAGTATGGACCATCCACCTTCCTTTTGTACTTCCTTCTGTGATCTCATAATTGGGGCAGGAGACTGGGGGAATGAGAGGGAGGACTATGTTGTAGTCCTGACTGTGACCTTGCTGTGTACCCTTTGGAAATGCATCTAACTCCTTGGTATCTCAGCCCTGGTCTACACTGGGGGGGGGGGGGATTGATCTAAGTTATGCAACTTCAGCTACGTGAATAACGTAGCTGAAGTCGATGTACTTAGATCGACTCACCGTGGTGTCTTCACCGCGGTGAGTCGACTGCTGCCGCTCCCTGTCGATTCCGCTTGCGCTTCTAGCGGCTCTGGAGTACAGGAGTTTACAGGAGAGGGCTCGGGGGGTCGATTTATCATGTCTAGACTAGACACGATAAATCAATCCCCACTGGATTGATCGCTGCCGGACGATGCAGCAGGTAGTGTAGACATACCCTCAGCTAACCCATTTGGAAGAGGGGATGATGATATGTATCTAATTGACAGTAGTATCAAGGGTTAATTGATTATTACTGGCTAATTGATTATTACTAATAAAGCATATTCTCAGGTAAAAGACACACTATGAAACGATTGACTATGAATCTGCATGGAGGATCAGTACAGAAAATCCTAATGTCCTTACATCTTGCTAATGTATTAACGTAGACAGGGACTAATAGGGAATGAATTGGGCAGAGGAATCATGTCAGACTGTTGCCTCTTGCCAATATCTTGGCCAACCTCTGTTTACTCCACCTAGGGGTCCCACCGCAGACGGGCACTGGCACCATTCTGCTTTACCTGTCTGACATCAATGACCACATGCCAACATTAGTCACACGTTTCTTAGAAGTTTGTGACAAAGCAAGACTGACTCCTCTCATCATAAAGGCAGAAGATAATGACTCAGATCCGTATGCCAGTCCATTTACATTTAAACTCGCTGATGACTCAAAAAGTATAAAGCAAAACTGGAGATTGGGAAAGAGTTTTGGTAAGTTCTTCCTCCCACACACCCTGTGAAACCCCTGCTCGCTTTGTCATCCTGTCACTGTTTCACACAGGCATAGTCATGTTTACCATCTGTTATTTATTATCACTTCAATGTTTTAAGTTCTGCACTCCTACTTCGGAGTAGGTTCAGAGTAAGTCCACTCTCACTTCAGTGGAGCCACTCCAGAGTTACACTGGAGTAACTCTGGAGGTCAGAATCTGCTTAGATGTCTTTTAATACAATTGCCCATGATTATAGGCTCAATAGGATTTTGCACCATTCAGCCTTCTGCTTTGAGGCCTCTAAAAATCTCACATATGGCAAGAAACGGTTTTCTGTTGGGATCATCGCCACAGTGACTATGGAACTGAAGGCATTACACGTATTGGAAAGTGGTAGATCTATTTTACTGGATACAGTTATCAGGTACAGGCAGGCACTAAAACACTGGCACATGCAGTTATCCACTTTGCGCACACTGTCTGGGTAGCGGCGTGTGCAAATTAAACACCAAATTGTGAACCTATCCTCACTGACATTCTGTCCCTTTGTGCTTCCAATCAATTTCCCCACTCAGTTTGTATAACTCAGAAGGGCTCAAAATGGAAAAAAAAGCCACTCCTCCATCAACACTGTGCTTTCTGGCTGTTTATTGCTTTTTACATGAGGCTCAGGAGTTCTTGCCTTTCTTCTTTTAGGTGACTCAGTTGAACTTTTAATGTTGAGAAACCTCCCACGTGGCAAGTATTTGGTGCCTCTCCTAATTCTGGACAGGCAGGGATTATTCTCTATGAAGCAGAATCTGTCTGTGAGACTCTGCCATTGCCCAGATGGACACGGATGCGAAGAACTGAACTCCATGCCATTGAGTCTTGGAGGTGGCGCCATTGCTGTGATTTTGGCAGTCCTCCTGTTATCTCTAGGTAAGATACCTCCTAAAATTTACCCCTCACTTACTCATCACCTGGCTATAAGATCTCATGGGAACTGCAACCTATTAATGTGTGGCATATAGTACCTGCCTTTAGAAGGAACAAGTGGCAGTAAAATGGCCATTTGACACTCTTAATATGTCTGAATGCTGTAAAGGTGGAACTAAATATCTGCTCTTTTGTGTCACCACCATTCAGTGGTCTAAGCAGATGATCTGAAGCCTTATTACATTCTGGAGCCACCTTTGTCTTGCAATGGGAACCATAGCTGTGCTCATGTAATGACCACTGCTGTCTTTTCATCTCCAGCAACCAAGAGAACAGTCTGTTAAATTATTTGGCAGAAATGCTATGATGTGCAGCACAATGGCAGATGATATCCAGTGCTGACAAATGAAGGGTAATGGACCTTGGAAGGGATTATTTAAATGACTCATCCACATTGAGGGGAGGGGAGAGACTCTAAATTAGCTGTAGCATCTCAGGAGAAGGACCTGGGCTTTATTGTGGAGAACTCAATGGAAACCTGTCCTCAGCGTGCAGTCATGATCGAAAAAGCAAACAACATTAGGCTGTATGAAGAGTGGGTTAGAAAGTAACACTGTCAGTTCTACAATGGCATCACACGGTGAGCTGGGACACTTTAATCTGGAACAGTGTGTGTCTGTCTCAAAAGTATAATGAAAACAGGGTCCAGAGATGAGCAGTGGAAATGAACAGTCCTGGAAAGTCTTCCATCTGAGGAGAGAGTGAAGAGCTCAGGGCAGCGTATTTTAGAGAGGAGTTGAGATAAGGTGGAGCGTGAAATGTATGCCACGCTCCTGCTGACCCTTTCTCGTATTAGTATGAGGGGACATCCAATGAAATGGAAAGGCAGGACACTTGAAATGGATAAAAGGGAATTCTCTCTTTTACAGCATGTAGTTAACCTGTGGAACTCACGGCCACATGCCAACATTAGTCACACGTTCCTTGGAACGATATAATTGAGGTCAAGAAGAGTTCTGTAGGAAGATAGAAAGTTTGAGTAGAATGTAGGCACCTATAAGGATAGTGAGAAGATTCCTGGATGAAGTTAAAATGTATAAGGATAAAACTTTTGGCATTAGCCTAACTGATTGGGAATAGATATGCAGGGTTGTTGTAGCCCTGTCGGTCCCAGGATATTGTAGAAACAACATGGATGAGGTAATATCTCTTGTTGGGCCAACTTCTGTTGGTGAAAGAGCCGAACTTTCGAGCTTACACACAACTCTTCTTGAGGTCTAGGAAACATACTGAGTGTCATAGCTAAATACAAGGTGGAGCAGATGGTGTAGCCAAAGTTAACACAGATTTCAAGGGACCTCCCATCACCGGGGGAAAGGAAAAGGGGGAATCTGGGATTGGGGTAGGTTTTATTGGTGGGTTATAGATTGTTTTAATAAACCATAAATCCAGTGTCTCTATTTAATCCATGATTTTTAGTGTCAAGCAAAGTAATGAATTTAAGCTCCCAGGGTTGTCTTTTGATGGTGTTGTGCAGGTTTCCTTTGAGGATGAGGACGGAGAGGTCAGATATAGCGTGATCACTTTGTGAAAAGTGTTCACCCACAGGTGATAGGGTGTTATCTTATTTTCCTGTGTGAGTTCATTCGAGATGGTAGTGATTGTTGGTTTCACTCACATAGTTATTATTGGGCATGTTAGTGCACTGAATGAGGTATACGACATATTATGATAGCAATGGAAGTAGGGGTTGATCATTGCAGCAGTGGAGATATGTCTGCAGGTTTTGCATCTGTTGTTTTGGTGGGGTCTGGTGCAGCTGTGAGTTGATGTGTCCTAGTCTATGGGGAGCTTGCTTCTGATGAGCTTGGAGAGGGAGCCTAGGGGATTGTTTTGAAGGCCAGCATAGGGCATTCAGGAAAGATTTCTTTCAGGATGGATTCCCACTGAGCATGGGTTGTATTTATTTGATGATGCTTCTTATGGGTTCCAGTAAGGGGTGGTAGGTGACAGGGAGGGGTGTGAGGTCAGAGGGTGTTTTATTTCTGTATTGAAGCAGGTCCACTCCGGGCTGGTTCCATGATGTGATCCACTTCTCTGGTGGAGTGTTCTTGTTTGAAGGCAGTTTTCAGTGCACTAAGGTGTATATCCTGGACTTTCTCCTTAGAGCATATTCTGTGCTATCAGAGTGCCTGGCTGTAGATAACTTTCTTGGTGTGTTTGAGGTGGTTGCTAGATTTGTGGAGGTAAGTGTGGTGATCTGTGGGTTTCTTGTACATAGTTATCTGTAGGGTTCCATTGTTGAAACTGACTCTGGTGTCCAGGAAGTTGATGCTAGTGTGGGAGTTTTCCAAACAGAATTTAATGGACAGATGGTGGCTGTTGAAGTTGTGGTGAAAATCTATGAGGGAGTTTAGGTCATCTGTCCAGAGGATGAAAATATTATAGACTTATCTTAGGTTTATCAGTGGTTTTCTGGTGCATTTGTCCAGAAATTCTTCAAGTGGACCATGAAGAGGATGGCATATCGGGGAGCCATGCTAGTACCCATGGCTGTTCCGATGGTTTCAACAAAATGTTTGTTGTTGAATGTAAAGTTGTTATGGGTCAGGATGAAATGGATGAGTTTGGCGATGTGTTCAGGGTGGAGATCTCAGTGTTGTCCAGTGTCTTGTAAATATTTGAGGCAGGCAGCGATGCTGTCATTGTGGGGGATATTGGTGTATAAGGAAGTGACATCCATGATGGCAAAGATGGCGTCCCAAGGGAAATTGTTGATGTTCTGGAGTTTGTGGGTTGATTGTGTCCTGGAGGAAGTTTTTTTGTGTGGTGACCGGTTTGAAGATGGTTTCTAGGAGTCCCAATATTCCTTCACTGAGAGTACTGTTGCTGATATGATGTGTCTGCCTGGGTTTCCTTGTTTGTGTATCTTGGGAACCATGTAGAAGGTCCCAGTGGTGGGTTCTTGAGGGATGAGTTTGTAGAGTTTCTCTTGGAGTTGTTTGGGGGAAGGATTTGATGATATCCTTAAATTCCTGTGGTGTGGGGTCTTCTTTGAGTTCTTCATAGTAGGTGGTGTTGGAGAGTTGATTAGATAGAAATTTCCCATAGAGGAAGGTTACTCCACAATTGCCTGTTGTGGGATTTCTTGCACCTTCCTTTGAAACATCTGGAGCTGGCCATTGTCGGTGACAGGATGTTGTGCTAGCTGGACCCCTGGTCTAGTCCAGTCTGATGTTTCCTATGTCTGAAACAAATTAATGAATGATCTGAAATCTGATCTATACATTCATAGAGTTCAGTGAGGTGCCAGCGGGGCTGCTTTGAAAGGCTGTGAGGTGTCAGTAGCAGTTCTGGTCATTCTTTTCCTGTTTCAGTGGTAGGCTGTCTTCTGCTGTGGTGTTACTATGGATCTGAAAACAGGAAAAGACAAGTCAATTTCCCTTTTGAAGAAGGCAACCAGACTTTAATCAAATACAATGAAGAGAGTGGAAACGTTTTGTCTCAGGTGGGTAATTGAGCATATATCTATCCACTTTCCTATTGTGAGCATCCTGCCAACTCGATACTTGTCTGCCCAGATTATCAACCATCCGGTCTTATGTCTCCTGTCATTTGGTGTTGAGCAGAACACTGCTCCCTTTCTCAGCAGAATGTGGAAGGAAAATGACCTGCTGTATGGTATTGGGTTATCCAGGTAATGGGGACTAACTCTGATGCACCCTCTGCCATTCCAATGGTTTTCTGGGTACTCTTCTTCTTGGACACCTCATCCCGTTGGAATGTATTAACAAGGCAGACATGGTGCTTTGCTGAGGAAAGATTTGAGTGGCTCCTCCATCTCTACTTGCCATGTGATACCTGGCTGTTTAGTGAGAACAGGGAAATAACAGATGACGAAGGGCAGGGGTTGCAAAATATTGGTTAGGAGCCAATAAGGATTAATAGTCCTTTGTTCTGTACATTTAATGAATGCACGTCTTCATCTCTGCCCTCTGCAGGTTATGCCTGATGTTTTGGATTATGAAAGCCAACTCTCTACATATGCACAAGTTAGAAAAGGAAAACAAATGTCTGAGGTAACCACTTGTTTGTTTATATATTCATGTAAATGGAGTGGTCCCTTTTTAACACCCTAAGGTCTGGAGTGGCTCACAACTGTGAGAGCCTACCTCAGGGCAGACTGTTGGAAAACAGGGCAGACACCCCAGGCTGGTAGTATGGGCTATATTTAGATTTCACCAAATCAGTAACAAATGTGAACTCCTGGATTGCTATATCAGTCTTACCATGGAGTCAGACAGTCCCCGTAGATTCTCCAGCCTATTTTGCCACCCAGACAAGCTGCCACCCAGATTGTCTCTGGGGACCTCTGCTTTGTATCTGGTACACTTCCCTGTAAGAGTCCAGACAGTCCAGAGATCAAGGATCTTTCCTTGAATCCATCTTTTATAGCTTCTCCTGACAGAAAACAAGTTGACAGTGTCTCTATCCATTTGGGCTCTTCCTCTGACAGTGAGTGAAGAATGAATTTTGAGTCATTGACCTCCGGTCATCACATATTATGGCCACTAGATTTGAAATTAGCACTTTTCTGTTGAAGTCCTTCATTAGCATTTCACAAGGCTTCTTTGAAGGGTTATTTATAATGTAAATGTTTGCTATTACATTATAACAGGATACAGATAAGTAAAAAAATGCGTGTAACATCCCATTTTCATGATGCTTAAACACCAGATACATTCTTATACATTTAACAATTACTTTGATCAATACTAATACACAAGTGAATTGACCTGGGGCTTTGGCATGAGCTGGCACCTGGTCTGCCAACGTCACAGATGTGCCTAACACACTGCCTATGACCTGAACCACAGTGAAAAGAATAACTTAAGACAGCCCTATTTGAAAATAATAACCCTGAAATCGCACTGCCATTCTAAGCACTGTGCTTAGTCACGTATCATTTTCTGAGGCTGACATTTCTCAAGCTTAGTCTCCAGTCAGAATAAAACTATTTCCCCTGATAAGATTCTTAACTATCCAGCCAGGTATTTTAGTGATGTGAGATTGTTGTTTGCTATTGTAGTATGTAAATGGAATGGCACCATCTCCCTCCCTTACATCCAGTCGAGGACACTATGACCAAGGTCGATGTGTAAGTAAACTCTACAAACTAGCATAGAGTATTTTGTGTGGGGGGTAGGGTGGGGGGAGGAATGATGGGGGGAAGGGATGAGAGGTTAACTGTGGTGGGTTTTATTAACCCCTAATAACTTTCCTGGAATCATGCAACAGTTCCCTGTTTTTATTTTTTAAAGGGTGCCAGTACAATGGTCCAGTCCAGACCTCTAAGTGACAACCACAGTTCCCACGTAAGTAGAATGCCTTTCACTGTGTTATGCTCAGTAATGGGCTCCACAAACTATCTCTGTCTGGGGACAGGTTAGAAAAAAATGCAAAGCCTAACACCTTTATTTTCATAGCATAACCCTGAGTCGGTAAGCCTCACTTAAAACACTAGGCCTTTGTGAGTAAGGACTACTTGCGGGAGTAAATATTGGCAGGATCAGGTCCTCCCTTTGGTGTCTTTAACTAAATTGAATGCAGTGAATTATTATGATTCACCATGTTTATGATGGTCATCCCAAAGGCCCAACCAAGACTGGGGCCCATCGTGCTAGGCGCTGTACAAACACAGAGTAGCAGATGGTCCCTGCCCAGATGAGCTTGCAATCTAAATAGACAAGACACATGTAATGTTGACAGACCCCAGTTGTCTGTGGGCAGGATCGAACCGGGGACCTCTGGAGCTTAGTGCATGAGCCTTTACCACGAGCTAAAAGCCAACTGGCTGTTAGCTAAGGCTGTAGAGCAGACTCATTTTTACCTCTCTGTCTAAGTGGTCTTGGTGCCACCAGATGGGAGAGAACACCACACCCAGTGTGTGGGTTACACACGCACAGGAGAAATAGCTATAACATCTAGTGAGTGCTGAGGAATTTGTTCAGACCAGAATGACACTTGTAAAATCTTGATGGAGGGGCTCTGGCCTTGCTGAGGTCCAATGCTATGTCTCTCTTTCAGGGGGTCCAGTATTCTAGACGCATGGAGACACTCCACAGAAGACCCCTCCCTGCGACTGTAGAAGCAGTGGGTGAAATGTTGAATCAGGTAGGGAATGGCTGGTTTTGAACTCCTCAGTATTGTCAGTGGGTCCTGGCTGTGGAACATGGGTTGCCCTGGGAACTTTCCAGTTTGGCTGCAGATGCTCATAGGAGAAACACACCTTCCAGGAATGGGAAAAGGGGCTAGGGTGCGTAAAACGGGCATTAACTCGCAGCAGAATCCGAACCCCTGGCTGAGAGCAAGGCTCACAAGCTGGGGGAGTGTGAGGAGGGGTCACTTACAACGATCTTTGAGCCTTTGCTGAAGATTTCGTGTCTCCAGCACTCCTTGCTGTGCCATTCTGGTCACCTCAAGTTACCTGGACATTTGTGTGTCCGTCACATATGCACCTTTTCCTTTCTGAACAGGCAATGGGCGCGTGTAGTAGTCTCGGCCGGGGTTCGGCCCTCAGCGGGGCTGTGGGGTATCCCACCGCCTCGCTCTGGTCCGCCGACAGTTCTGGTCCGGCGGCAGTCGGGGACAGCAGACACACGGTTAGGGGACTCAGGCCCGTAAGCAGGGGCTGACCCAATAGGTCCGAAAAGAGCCCCGAGCCCTCAATCAGGGCAGGGCAGTAATCACGCAGTCTGGAGCTCCGGCCCTCAAGCAGGGGCTGAGTCAGTAGCTCGGAAACCCAGGCCCTTAAGCAGAGGCTGAGGCAATGTCTATGGCAGCCCAGGTCCTAGGTCAGGGCGGGGCAGGAATCAAATAGTTAGGCAGAAACCCAGGCCATTAAGCAGGGACTGGGTCAGGGTTTGTAGCAGCCCAGGCCCTAGGTCAGGGCTGGGCAGCAATCAAATAGTTAGGCAGAAACCCAGGCCATTAAGCAGGGGCTGGGTGAGGGTTTGTAGCAGCCCAGGCCCTAGGTCAGGGCGGGGCAGCAATCAAATAGTTAGGCAGAAACCCAGGCCATTAAGCAGGGGCTGGGTGAGGGTTTGTAGCAGCCCAGGCCCTAGGTCAGGGCAGGGCAGCAAACAAATAGTCAGTCAGAAACCCAGGCCTTTAGGCAGGGGCTGGGTCAGTGTTCCACAGGTCCCAGCCTCTCTAAGCCAGGGGAAAAAGGGGGAGTCGGGAAGCAGGCCCTCCCACTCCACTGTGTCCCAGCCCGGGGCCCTAGCAGCTGCAGAGACTCGCTGCTGTCAGTGGGGATCCTGGCTGCAACACACTGACATCGGCTCTGGCAGTGCAACAGCCAGAGTGGGGTCGGCTGCCCCCGGGCTACTTCCACACTTCCCCTCGTAGGGTACCTGGGCCGTTCTAGTGTCCTCGGTGCTCTCCACCAGCATCGGTTCCTCTGGGTAGGCAGCAAAGGGCAGGCTCGGCTGCTCCTCGGGGTAGCAGGAAAGGGGCAGGCTTGGCCAGTCCTCCTTAGGGTACCGGGCGAGAGGTAGGCTCGGCTCCTCCTCGGGGTAGCTGGCACGGGGCAGGCTTGGCCAGTCCTCCTCAGGGTACCGGGCGAGAGGTAGGCTCGGCAGGCGTGGTAAGACAGCAGGCCGGTCGTGGCCTGCAGCTGTCTCCCAAGCGGGAGCTCGGCCACAGACGTCTGCTCTCTCCGCCGGCCTGGGCTCCACTGAGCTCTGCAGGCGGGCTTTTATACTTCCGGGTCGGTGCCGTGACCTCTGAGGGGCAGGTGCTGGACCCGGTGGCTCCGCCCACGTTGGTATTAGGGGTGGTTCGGCCCTCAGCGGGGCTGTGGGGTATCCCACCGCCTCGCTACAGCGCTGCAGTGCTTCCCATTGCAGGTGCATGGGTAAAGCCAGTTCCTTGCTCTTTCCATGCTGTGTTGGCTGGGGAACTTGTAATTTTTCATGCTTTTTGTATTTCTTCTGACAGCTTCCCTGTGCTATTGTATTGCAGCGCTGCTCCCCGGGCGCTCTTTGGCGTAGCTGATGGGTCTTAAAGGGGCTGGCTGGTTGGGTGGGAGTGACTAGTATTTCTCACAGTATCACCCTGGGACTCTTGCTAACCTGCTGCTTACGATGAATCTCACTGGGCTTCCAAAGGGATGTGAGAGTTGAGTCTCCAGGGAAATTTTGTTTTCTTATTTGTTCTTTCCCTTCCTCAGAAGCTCTATCACCTCAGCAACCTGGAGGAGAACATGATCACTTACCAACCTCACACATATGCCGAGGAGGGAAAACTAGAGAGAGGCAGCTCCTTCGGGTCCGTGCTCATTTTCGACGATGAACTGCCCAAGGATTTCTTGGACACCCTGGGACCAAAGTTTGCCGCTCTGGATGAAATC